AATCACGACAATATTTATACTTATAAGGTCGCGCACGACAACAATATCAAGTGTCATTTAACACGCGAACACGCGTCCACGCGTCCACTCATACATATATATATACCCTGTCGCTCCTCTGTATCGCTTCACGACAACCTCTCCTCTTCCAAAGCGCAAATACAATATTATCAAAAAGTTAATATACAACGAACAAGCCTTTTGCCGCTACTACCTCCATAACGCCACCACCACTGTCGCAGGATGCTTCCATCACAATACCACCACCTCCACAACCATCTCATTATACTCCCACATGTGTTTTATCAACGCCTTATAAATTTGTCGTTCATAACACTATATAGTGTACTGTCTTTAGTCTTTCAGAACAATGATTGCAAGTCGCATATTCATATTGCGTCTTAGCCTGCAGAATCGATTTGACAAGTAAAAACGCTAGAGATATGGCTTATGGTATGAAATGGCCACAGTTTTCTTTGTATCATGCATGGCAAACGTTAAACTTTTTTCATAGATTCTTGAACAGGTATTAACAATGTAAATCATGAGATATATGTATGTTTGAATACTTTGAGATAGTTATGTTAATATTATGTTTTTTTATTCCACAACGCTACCACTATCACAGAATATTCTTAATATTTATGAGACGAGACAAGTTACGAAATGGATTGGGCGCCATGGAAGTTTGACATCACAATAAGTGGTGTAAACATCGAACGCGTATTTATGAGCTTGCATAAAAAATGCCAGAAGACGAAACCGAAAACCAAAACGTCACTTGAATACGGCATGATTGACCTTAATGCCGGTATCATTTTAGAAGCTTTGGGATAATCAGTGATATCGCATTTTGAAGAAAAGATGCAAGAATATAAACCTAACGAACAAAGCCAGCGGAATGAACAACGAGAAATTGGCAACAGTGCTCCACCATACGGGATCGGAGAAGACAGTATATGTGGATTGAATCCGCACCTTTCCCAATGGACGACCTTAAAAAAGGTTTATCCGTAGAAGTTATGAGAATCTTGAAAACGTTTAATGTTGTAAGTAATTGAAGATATTAATTATAATCCACTTTTTTAGACATCTTTGGAAGACCTCGGAAAGGCACTTGTGTCAGTAGTTTTCTTCGCGAGGCGCTGCGCTCACCGTGACAATAGGACCCTGTAGTGTCGACGCTTAGTAATAAGGCCACCGATTTGGCCAACTTTATTATACTACTTAAGTATATCGTTATAATTCTATCTTTAAGATCAGACATTATCGTAACTAATAATTTCCTTCTTACTAGACGAATGATTTTGCATTGACTATTACATTGGGCTCGTGTCTCAAATATATCTTAGGCAACAGATATATTCTCCATCGGCCTTTCTATACTATTTGTAATAATTGTAAAATATATAACAATTAAATAAGAATACAACACTTAATGGCCTATTAATTTCGTTAACATATATCTAGGGAATTAATAACTTCGTTGTTTCATCATACAGACGAAGACGAATAATATATCACCGAGGGTCAGGTTCAACAGATGTTCCTGGTAAACCGTAGCAGACGAAGAAATGCCGCTATATATAATATCTAATACCCGTTATACGTTATATCGTAGATTATCTCGTTAATTTCAGCCTCAACATTAATATTTCTCTTTCCACTGTAATGCTCCGATTAAATTTTCATCAAGAGTATCCCGCATGTTGCTTCGTGTCTCTCACACTCTATGGCTCCAATACTACTAATATTTTGGCATAGGTTCCCCTCATTGACGAAATAATCCCATCTAAACCTCTCCAGTCCGTTGGAAATGGCTCCAGATTAATAATTGCTGAGCGATTTGATTGCAAAAATGGAGATACGACCATTCGTGTGATTGATACGTCTTGAAGCACGCCTGAATGACTGTTATTGTTTGGAAGCGATTAATTGTTTTTTTTTTCTTTTCGAATAAAATTTTTTGCAAACTCACATTTACTCTTCCAGGTAGTCTTTGAGGACATAATAATAAGAGAGACTTGAATAAAACGCGACATCAGAAATCGGGCAGTAACGTAACTGATCGTACGATATCCTCAACCAGTCATCAACATTGAGATCTTGTGTCGTAGATGATGCCCCCGTGCCTTCGGTATAAATGGGATTCTAATATTTTTGTATAGACAGAAACCTATATTAACCACATTCTAGCATAATAATATTATTAATTAAAACTGTTAGTTTACGTAAATTTATGTGTACATAGGCACTCTCGATAAGTCGGACTCGTCGGGACGGAGATCTTATCGAGAGATCCGACTTATCGAATTTCATAATTTTTAAATAAAAAATCCCCCCCTTTTATTTAATAAGAAATAATAATAATGCATTTCGCTTTCTTCTAATTTGACTGTCTACTTTTATATCAAATATATTTTGATGCTATCCAAAACAGCCGTATTGTTTATGTTTTCTTCTCCCTCTTCTCTTTCTCCTTCTTCTTTCCTTCTTCTTCCGGTACTTCTTGTACTGCAGCAAAATGACGAAAACTATGAAGCAAAATTATTGGATAATTAATTGTATTGTATTTACTAAACCGGTAAAAATTATCTCTCAAAAATCACGTGGTTTGACTTATCGAAAGTCATTTGTATAAGCGGTTGTCCGACTTACAGGTTTATCGCGATTTTATATGTGTGTCCGACTTATCGAATTTTTTTAAATACACGAAAAAAGGGGCGAAAAAATTTGTCCGAGTTAAGCCAAATCCGGCTTATCGAGTGTCCGACTTATCGAGTGTCCGACTTATCGAGTGTCCGACTTATCGAGAGTGCCTATGTAATAATAAGTTCTGTGATAATCGAAGTGTTATTAATCAAATTAGTTAACTTTAGCCACATCAACCTTTCATTATGTCACACAATAAAATGTTCACTTTGTCTGGTTTTGTTGCAGTCTGCCCTATATAAGTAAGGAAAGCAGCTATTTGCTTTATATTTCTTTTTCTTAATTCATCATAAGTTGGCATTAATGCTCTTTTATTAATTATGATTTTTTGTTCTTTTCATTTTTGGTAAATTTTATAAGTAAATTTTCTTTGTCTAGATATTCCTGGAGTGTTTGGGTATTAGTATAATTGATTTTAAAAACATATGGAGCAATCTTTTCGCCCTGTTATCTCTTTAAAATACTTCTAATTGAGTAATATGTAATTCTTTGGTTCCATACACTACCCTACCATAAATCACCGGATTTTTTGTCACGTGTTTGAAATAGATATGAAATTTTTGTATTTTCTAA